CATAAGGAACTGTATAAAACTAAGATCAGTTTCTACTTTTAATAAAGCAACCTTCATAATGGTATGCAATTGAATAAAGCAACTTTCATAGTGGTATGTGCACCCTCATGCAAGTCCAATTTTATATTCAATTTCTGAATAATTAGTTAAGCAGAAAATGAAATAAATATTTTAGGGAATATGCTAAATTGTCATAGTCTGGCCACAACTTCTTGAAAAATGCTTGATTGGTGTAAGGGTGATGACGTTTTCATGAACGCAAACAAATTAAACCGAGTTTTCATCAAAATACGAAACTGCTTTGCACAAAAGAAATGAACGAGGCATGAACATTAACCACATATTAATAAAATATCTTTACTAAATTTTCAATATTCTATCACCGATATAATTTTTTATGGCTATCAATAAAAGCTGCAGTTATTTTGTTTTTTAAATCATATCATGACTTGCCATTTCTATAATAAATCCTTGGTCTTTCTTTGGACAACTCAGTATCATTTTCCATAATTTCTGCAGTTCTTTAACCACTTTACTTATTTAGCAGAAATTCAATTTTGGAACTACTGCATACTTACCAATCTACAATCCTTAAAAGGGGGGGGGGAGATTTTGTGAGTGTATATGCAACTTCAGTGTATATGTACGTAGATCTGTACACAAATGTACATATACACTGAAGGGCCATTACATTATGACCCCTCTCTGTTAATAACATGTAGGACCACCTTAAGCCCTTAAAACTGCCAGAACCCGGCATAGCATTGACTCCATAAGATGCTGATAGGTTGCCTGAGGTATCAAGCACTCATCACTGGTTCTGCGATTCCCGTACATTGCGAGGGGGTAGTGTGGCAGCACGAATTTGGTTTTCCAGGTGGGACCACAAATGCTCTACTGGATTAATGGCAAGTGAATTTTCAGGCCAAGACATGACTTGAAAATCACTAGAATGTTCCTGGAACTATTCCCTGATGATTCGACTCTTATGACATAGCGCATTATCATGTTAGCGGAAATACTGTTGTCATGAATGGGTGAACCTATCTGCAGCGATGTTCACATAGCGCACAGACGTCAGGGATTGTTCTATGCGAATAATGGGTCCTAATGTGCTCCATGAAAACATTTAAACCATAATATTTTCGTCAGCAGCTTGTTTCGGTGCAACTGTGCATTCGGGAGCCAGGGTTTCATTTGAAATCGTCGTATTAGCACACGCCTGTTGATGTGATGAACCAGGAAACGAGATTCGTCGGACCATACAACTTGTTTCCATTCTTCTAATATCCAATTCCGACATTTCTTGGCCCATTGCAGATGCAGATGGCAATGACGTGCTGTCAGTACAGGAACAACATTTGGCCTCCGGCTGCCTAGGCCCATTCGCAGGAATGTACGCTGCACATAGTGTTAAAAAATACTGTCTGTGTCACCTCGGTTGCAGCTGGTGATGATTTCGGCAGTTGTAGCTCTTCAGCCATGGCGAACAATGTTCCACAGAAAAAATTTGCCATCGGCGACACACCACTGATTGGCAACTTGTCCATTTCACCATCCATACTCTTTCGTCATGTGCTCACAACAACTGCACATTAACAGCCTACTAAACGTGCCGGTTCTAATACTGATATTCTCAGTTGCCGAGCAATAATGATTTGACCTTTATTGAAGTCTGATAAATCCGCTTCTTTTCCCATTATGTTTGGAAAAGAATTATGTTCGAAAAGCCAATGCATAGCTGCTTTATATGCTCTAACATTAGCTGCGCAAGTTATAGATGGAGGGTGGTCATAATCGGTATACACGTGCATACATAAACATATACATAGATTTCTGCATCCAATCCTGATAACAGAACAGTACAGATTTTTTTTTTAAATCAGAAGAATTTTCATGACAAAAATATATACAAAAATATTTTTTAATAATAAATTAACTTGAAATAGTAACTAATTAATATCTGACAATTCAGTTACTAATTCTTAAATGCAAACAGTAAAAAAATACTAGCATGTACAACATTTTTATTATTTGCATATTTTAATAGAAAAATAATACTTTAATCAGTTTTTGTACAAATGCTAAGAACAGTGGCAGATTTTGCTTTTGTTAAGAAACTCTTTGGTTCTAATATCCTTTAGCTAATAAAAGTTTTTCAAATGTGGCATCGCTAATATTGGATTCAAATTTAGTCCTCATTTTAGTTACACTGAAAATTCTCTTGCACTCTGCATTGAATTGTCAGAATGGTCTATTCAAGACACTTCACTGTAATTTAAAATTCCATTGGAGCCTTTCAGTTTTCCAATGAAACTCCACTGGGTGTCAATCTTTGCTGCTTTTATAACTTTATCCAAGTTTATAGAAGTATTTTATAACTTTCAATACAGCCTTTTACCTTAACTCAGAAGCAGTTACTTCTTTCTGAAAATGTGTAAGTGGGTTCCATTGACTGAGCACTCTAAATAAACATTTCTCTAAAGATAATCAGCATGTACATATAAGTTTCAAATTTTTTCTTATTTCAGTATTATGCAGTTGTTGGATTAGTTAAAATTTGTCTTTCCTTTGACAACTTTTTTCAAGATAATAATAAATATCAACAATGTGTTCATTCACACTTATTGGCAAAGAAACTGCTTCTTTTTCAGCTGCTAAATTTAAGAGGTTTGCATATCTCAACTTTCTTTCATAAAGATTCCAGCAACATGTAAAAGTTGCCTATCATCTGGTGCATTGTTGACACCAAGTCCTGAACAATTATCCAGATGAACTGCATTTCTTTTAAAGTTTTACTAATTACCTGTGCTATATTAAAGACTCTAGAATCTCCTTCTAAAGTGGGGACAAAAAGAAAACTACTCCATTTCTGAAGATTCTGGATTAAAGAAAGAGCCAACAATTAGATACAGTTTTGCCCAGGTATTATTGCTTCCATCTGTAGAGAGGCAGGCTGGAACTGAGTTAATGCAACCAATAACTAAAGATTTATTTTTCATACTCATTTCTTTAATGATTGTAGCTGTTTTTGCCCTTGCAGTTAAGTATTTCTTAGCGTTTTGATTGTCGGGAAACATTTTTCTAAATAAAGCTCCAGGATGATCTAATAAGTGGCAGGTTGCGCTTTAGTAAAAAAGTAGAGAACACGCATTCTGCATTAACTTTCTGGACCTTTGTTCCCAAAGAAAAATCTAACTTTTTTTTTTCCAATAGAAACGTCCTTGTGTTCTGTAAGCACAAATGTTTAAGAACAGAGGCTTTTCCAACATGCAAGATCAGAAATTGAAATGACAAATGAGATTTGTATTCTATTTCCTTGCCAAAATAATAGAAGAAAGTCGTCTGTGTATGATTTTTGAAAAGTACATGAATATTTTACCTTCCTTGCAGACTATAAGATGAAAGATCACATTTCCTTAAACTCTTTCTCAAAAGCACATGGAACTTGCAACAATCAGTGGCAAGATGAATGAAATAACAGCTTTGATCTTGCTTAGTGCTTACTGGCTAATGCATGCCCGATGACTTGCAGCAGAACTTGATGCTCACTGGAGAAGTAGAACATGACATTTTCGGACACGTGCTCTTGCATAAAAGCAAAAGGCGTGCCATAATGTATCACCGATGAAACAACTTTGGTTTTCTTTTACATGTAATTTAGAAACACCAAGCAATAGATGAAAAAAAAAATCACTTTTTTGAATGCAAATAATGAAGTATTAAGAAAACTTTCATAAACATTGTGAGAGATTTTAAGAATAACAGAAAGGCGGGAGAACTATGTTGTAAACTGAGTGAGCAGTAATACAGTCAGAAATTGGAAAAGCTGGCACTTCTGCTAGTGTCAAAATTTTATTAGCTGTATTTTGAAGTCACGAAAATAATTCTAGATATGACCTATGAATTTATTTTTTCCTCCAATTCACTTTGAAACAACCAGAGAGAAAATTTTTTTAAGAATTAAGAATGCAGATAGTAAAAATACTGAAATTTAAATAATTTTTTATCACATTAAAAAATATACTTACCTAATTTACAGTAATTTATTCATTAATCAGTAAATAAAAAGAAAATCGGACTTACATAAGGGTGCTCACACTTTTATGAAAAACATCGAACTGCATAATGGCGCTGAGGATCAGTTTCACATTTTCTAGCTAGAAACTGATCTTCAGTTTGTGTATGTTCCCATATAACCAGGTCACACTTACAGAAGTTTCTGACTTTTCGAACAGAAACCAATTTACATAAGAAGGCTGCACTTTTTTTAAGTAGTCCTCATAATAAAACACCTTTTTGAGAAATCCTCCTCTATTTTTTCTAGTTTGTTCTCTCTAAGCATATAGCGATCTGTTTTTGCTAAAAAGCAGAAAATAACACAACCTTAGCACTGCACATAAGCAGTAATAAATAAAGCGAACAGTTGTTGTAAACGAAATATGACTCTTTCCAAACCAATTTTTTCTGAATTCTAACACTATATTTGCAATTTTTTACATTGCATTTGTATAAAATTTGGTCATTTAGAGATGTACAAAATCATAGAATGTGAATTTTCGCATTTCGTCATTGCGCAAAATGGCACATTTCTGTAGAAATGTAAAGCTTTCTATTTCATCAGCTCACAAATTCCCTGGTCACATTATATATTTATAAGAAAAACAAATTTTTTCACTGAAAAAAAAAAAAAAAAAACTTATCATTAAATTTTAAAGTGTAAATCTACGTCTCCATTAACCAAATGAACATCCAACACTATGCATTAGGTACATACTATTTATTATAACCAAATTTTAAGGTATTTTAAACAAAATTGTAACAATTTTTCTCCTTAAATTACATTCAAATTCCTTTTCAAAATTAACATATGTTCTTTTTTTAGCATCAGTTCAATGTTAATGAAATACTGATATTTATTAATCAGTTTACACTAATATACAAATTTTAAGATAAGGTACTTCTAATAAAAATAGAATACAAAAAAAATTATAAGTTACCATTAGCCATTAAAAACTTTGGTATTAAATCAACATTCCAATCTCTAGATCTGCCATATTCTTCCAGCTGAGTAGCTGGCATGTTAAACTTGGCAAATAATTCTTCAAGTGGGGTGATTGATGCACTTTCTCCACCATAGTATTTATTGCGATCCATGTGAAGAACTTTCCGGCCGCTTACAGAAAGCATTCCACTCAAAATGCATTCCTAGAAAAGATTTTTAAAAAATTTTTAATATCAAAATGAAAAAATATTTTTCTGCCAATAAAACATTACAAAATTTAATATTTCCTCATCCCAAATTAGTTGCTACATTTCAAGTAGGTGCAGTCATAAATAACTTTCAATGCAGTTAAGTAGAACACTACCAATAAAATATACAATATACAGTCAAAATCCGGACTCATCGGTTAATCCGGACTCATCGGGACTTTGGCGATTCCAGATTATCGATTTTTTCGGATTATAGATCATTAGTTTAAATCTGGTAAGATGGCATGCAGAAATTATAAAATTAAAAATATGAAACCGCAATTTATGAAATAAAGAACAATTATGATCTGAAGGGTATCAAAATTTAGAAAAAAAAAAAAAAAAAACTTAATGTTTATTTGTTTACTTTATTAAACATTTCTTTCAATGTAAGTTATTTAAGTTGCTTCGTTTTACGTGATAATGCTTTCTCTTTAATTCTATAAACAGACATAATTTCTTGTTCAGTTACAAAGTTCCACTGTTCAAGTCTTATAATTGCCGTGTCGAGAATACTGACTAATTTGTCAATCGAAATTTTTTCGTTTTCAATAACCTCTGTGTCACTTCACTATCGGAAGTGAATTGTAATGATGAGGAATTTGATTTAAATCATATCAAAGACAGAGTACATCGAGATGAAATACTATTTTTAGTAAGGAATTATAAGCCGAATAAAATAAAAAAATCTGCCCTGAAGATAAGGATAGTGCCGTGGCGTTTCCACCCCCCCATCCGCCACAGAACAGTGTGAAATTGATAAACAGATTTCGGAATTGTTAGAGAAACAAAGGATATGCCTTTATTCATTTTTTGCAGCAATTCCACTTTTTGATGGACATCGAAACGTGTATTCGCTTTGTAGATATCCTTTGGCAGCTCCAGAATCGGAAATTCTTTTTGACATAATCGAAAGTTCAAGCTTACTTTTATAAAATTGCTCTAAGAGTCTGCAAAAAATAATAAGCCGGATCTCCAATTCGAAGATTAAGGAACAATGCAATCTGCAACATTAACTGAAATAGATAATTAGATAATTTTAGCTTAGCTTATACCGTCGGTTATACATTAAACGCGCATGCGTAAACGTATATGCGTTTACGCATGCGCAGAAAGTTTGTAGCTTTGAGGTTAGGATTATAGATTATTCCGAATTATGGGTGTCCCAATTAATGACTTCTGACTGTACTTACAATGAATATAACGTGGTATACTAGGTGTTAGAAGCAATGTTAACTTGAATGTGAAGTAATGGGGAAAAGGAGTAGCGTGACTCGACCTAATAAAAAAGTGATAACTGTAATTATGAATAATAATTTCAAAAATATCCTAAAGAAGGACAATGATAATAAAGAGCATAACATTGTATTGCAATTTTTTTTGCAGCATTTGAAAAATGAAGCTAAGCCATGATGCTATAAATGCTGCAGCTATGAAATTTAATGCTCATCATAGTACAATATCTTGTTTCTGTAAGCAGGCAAAGACTTCAAAAATAAATGATGATGAAATTTACAATGTAAGTTCACAAAAAATTTGTAAATGCAGATTGGAAAAAAAAAAAAAAAAAAAAAAAAGGTTTTCTCAGCCACTGAGCAAAATCAAAGATGTCCCAATAAAACGAAGTTATTCACTGAGAAGCATATTGTGTGCTGTTAGTTTTCCTAAATTAACATTACACAGGATTATCAAGTTTTGAAGCGTATTTCATCTACCATTAACCATTTCGACCTGACTTCTGCATGATTAAAATTTAACTATGAAAAGTAGTTTCATTTAATGTTGACATGCTAAAAGAAGTGTAATATGAGTTTGAAGTTTTTAACTTTTTCAGTTTCCTGGAAATCTCCTCGGACAATATGTCTCAATCGTCTAAGATATTGTGAAAATAACCTTACACTGCATATGAATAAATAATAAAGTTAAATGAAATGTAACAAATATTTTATTCTTACAGTACAAGTTAAATTTCACGTGGTGTAAAGCAGTTTACAAAGTGCAACCCGACGCATTTGGCAAAATAGGACAGGTTTCTTTAGTCATATATTTGTTCTCTAATTCCTTACAAACACAGCAAACATAAAAATTATTTAAAAGTGGGTTTTACTTACACAATAGGGAATGAAATCTAATCTGCGGGACGTATTATGATCAGAAGGTTTAAGCCAAGTCTAACAGAAAAATATAAGCTCAACATAATTCGATTCTGTTTACAGCACGTTCAACCCAATGGATGCTTTTCGGAAATGTTGGATCATATTTGTAACGAAGAAAAATGGTTTTATACCACGAAAACCAGCATTTCGTTTTACATCAGTTTCAGGCGTTGCAAAAGAAAAAGGTTTATTACCAAAGTTGGCTCTACTCTGATATATGCCCTAAGATCACCAAATGTGGCGATATGTATTCTGCACTGGTTTGGGGGATGATGTTGTTTCTATGGCAACCCTTTTGATGTTGAAAGTTAACTCTTTTGCTGCAATGGTTTAATTGCTCATTGGTTCATGTCGAGTGTGTTTTGAAATGGCCTATGTTGCAATGATTGACGTGGTTGCAAGATTTTAGTTGCGTATTTTAGATTGTGTGGAAAGTAAATTTAGTATTAAAAGGTACGATGTTGGAGTTGTTAGTGAGTATTTTGTTCACAGGTGTGTTTATGAGGATCGAAGTGTATTTTTGAAATTTCTGTGGGACTTTTAAAACGGAGTCCGAAATGCAGAGCTGCTATAAGAACTTGGACGAGGAAGGGCATTTCTGATAGTTCTTGTGTGGATTTGCAGTCAAGTGGTTGCTGGTAAAGTTATGTGGCTGTAAGCGGAGTTTAAGATTTAAATCGTGGTTTTTGTGTAGTAAGTTAACTCTGGAGGAAGTTTTTATTGTTACTTTCAAAATTTTGAATCTCAGAAAGACATATGATATAGCAAAATCACGGCACTTTTGTTCACATTTGTGCGCAATGCCTAGATTGTGCAATTCGTAGATGTTTTTTTAAGTTTAAACAGGATGCTGTGTACATGGTATTCTTTGAAATTTATTGTTGTTACGTTAATTTATTAAAGGGAGGTGTGCGTAGTTCTTGGATTCTTTCACTGCCTAGATTGTGCAATTTGTAGATTTTTTTAAAGTTAAAACATATTGCTGTGTACATGGATTCTTGTCAAATATTTTTGGTTAGAAACTTTGTTTTTGCTAGCTAAATTTTTTGTTTTTGTTTCGGATTTTTAGCTTAAATTATGTGTTCAAAACGTGGTTTTTGCATGTGTGAAAACCGTGTTTTTGGAGACATTTAGGATTAAAGTTGAAAATGTAGACGACAAATTTAGATAGTAATATGGCACCGTGGAGTTTCTCGCCAAAAATATTTGGTGAGAAATTAGTCACCAAGCGAGGGCACATATAAGAGTAGTCCCCCAAAGTTATATTTATGGCAGCGGTTGCAAGACCCAGATAGGACTCAAACAGAAACAAAATGTTTAGTTGAAAAATTGGAATATAGTCCTTCGTTTATTCAGAAAATGTAAAAATAAATAAATAAATAAATAAATAAAATCATGCAAAAGGAGCTGCTCTGACAAAAATTGTAGGAACTGTTAACAAAGAAGAAAATTTCCAAGTAATGAAAAATCTAGTTCTATACACAGACAACTGGAAAATGCCAAGCCTCATTTGGCAGTGGATGATCCCAGTATCACAGAATAATGTTAATAGATGGATGGAATTTGCACCTACAATGTCAACCTCCAAATATTCCGGAATTAAATGTACTTGATCTCAGGTTTTTTAACAAAAAATAGTCATTGTAATATCAGATGCCGACAAAGAATATTGACTACTTAATTGATGCTGTTGAAGTCGCTTTTCAAAATATAGAAGCAGAAAAGCTTGACAATGTATTTTTAATTTTACGAACATGTACCTCGTTGGCAAAATGTTCTTTCGCAAAAGCTGGCATATATATAACCTGGCTATATAATGTGCAAAAAAATCCTTAAATATAAGTCGAAATTATTTTATTTGCAATTAAAATTATCACAACTTAGTTCTTTCACTCGCAGTTTTTATTTTTCACAAATCTGGCACTTATTTTGGAACAGTTTAGATATTCAGAAACAAATTTACAGGGTTTGCACACTCTTAAGGCCCTATTTTGTAAAGGCTCTACCACCCAGTATATCAGAAAGATCATGTTTATGTGAATAAGGCAAAGCCTCGAGGTCTCTCTGCCTTTGTGGTGGATTTTTTAAGGGAAATGGGCAGTATGCATCATTGAATTCACAATTGATTAGCTAGAAGATAGTTTTATGCGATTACTGGTGGAAGAGTCCTTACAAAATGGGGCATAGCTTAAGGGTATGCGAATCCTGGATTTTTTAATCTAATTTGGTACTGATTTAAGGAGGGAATGCTTAATAAGTAAACGTTAGATAACGTAGCATCCTGAAATTTCTGAAAAATGTTCCGGCAAAATCATCAGCATCAATACACTACAAAAGTATTCAAATCTGGACAATTTGGGACTGAGGACAATCTGTCTGAGGACAATCTGACAGAGGGAATATTAAACATACACTATGCTTTTAAAGTTATGACAAACTTAGAAATTTTTGATTTATTCTCTACTCCTAAAAGTTTCCCCCCTTCTTTTTCCTTATTAAGGAAATTAAATTATGAAGAATCTGCATAAATGTACGTGTTTCTCGCATTGTGGTAAGACAACGGTAACTAAAGCCATCAAATTTTGAATAATGTTATCTTCCAATGAATATGAGCATCTGGAAGAGCAAATTTTGATTTTTTTTACTATCAATTTCATAAAACTTTAACGAATTTTTGATTAACAAACTCAAGGGTTTCAAAGTGAGCAATGGCAACATTATTCAGAAAAAACATTTTTATCTCCAGCGCACAAGATTGTGTATCGGAAACTCTAAAGATATGATCATTTTAAAATTATTTTGCAATATTGCTGTTGAATTGAATTTTATGGTTTAAGTGCGAAGAACATGATATTTAATACATAAAGGTAACTCACGCCACTTTGGACATAATTTAAAATCTGTAACCTTTAAGATTTTTTTTTTTTTAAACTGCCTTTGGAAACACTGTAAATGAAACAAGTTTTCAGTATATTATTCTACACACTGACCCATTTACTTTATTTATATCTTGTAAAATTCATCTGTTTAAAAAAGCACTAAATTCTAGACAGAATGCTACTACAATTATTGTACATTTCCTGATATTAAGCCGAGAGACAAGATTCTTCTGCAAAAATTCAGCCAAGATTGAAAACCTGTGTATATGGCAGATTTAAAAACAACAAGTTCTAATTTATCTTCACCTTCCATAAAAAAAAAAAATAAAGATGGAAACATTGCAGGAAGAAAAGGTGATTTTGGCACCAGAAGATTTTTTTCTCTGTTCCCCAAACTTTAGACCCACCATATGGGACTATAGTGATTTACTGAATTTTACTACTGATGACTGGTTAATTTTATTATTACTATCAGTTGCGATATCCTTCTCAAGCAGTTACAAGACTTCTCCATCCACATGCATTTATACTTGCCTCAAGGAAAGAACAAAAAACTGGTTATAAACGCTACATCAGACTGATATTAAGAAATTTAATTAATATATATTTGGATCAAATAAAACAGTATTTTAATATTTATATATATAAATTAATACAGTCAAAAGTCGTTAATTCGTACACCCATAATCCAGACCTCAAAGCTAAAAACTTTCTGCACATGCGCCGTGTTGACACATGCGCATAGGCGTTTACACGTGTGCGTAAGACCTTTACAACTGCACATATGCATGTGCGCAAGCGCAGAATACGTTTTTGCGTGCACGTTTAATGTATAACGGACAGTAAGCTAAAATTATCTAATTCAGTTAATGTTGATGATTGCGTTGTTCCTTAATCTTCGAATTGGATCCGATTATTTTTTGCAGACTCTAAGAGCAATTTTATAACAGTAAACTTGAACTTTTGATTATGTCAAATAGAATTTCTGATGCTGGAGCTCCCAAAGGATCTACAAAACGAAAGTATGTTTCGATGTCCATCAAACAAAAAGTGGAATTGATGCAAAAAAATGGATAAAGACATGAAGAAGGTGACAGAGAGGTTAGTGAAAATGAAAAATTTCAATTGACAAGTTAGTCGGTATTCTCGGCACAGCAATTACGGGACTTGAACAGCGGGACTTTGTAACTGAACACGAAATTATGTCTGTTTATAGAATTAAAGAGAAAGTATTATAACATAAAACGAAGCAACTTAAACAACTTACATTGAACGAAATGTTTAATAAAGTAAACAAATAAATATTAAGCTTTTTTTTTGTAAATTTTGATACCCTTTAGATCATAATTGTTCTTTATTTCATAAATTATGGTTTCATATTTTTAATTTTAGAATTTCTGCATGCCATCTTACGAGATTTAAACTGATGATCTATAATCCGTAAAAACCGATAATCCGGAATCGCCGAAGTCCCGACGAGTCCGGATTAACGACTTTTGACTGTATTGGTATATTATTTAACCTACAATACTACCTACTACTATATAATTGGTGAAGCTAATCCTCAAACAGCAATAGTAAAAATATATTAAAATTCCCAGATGAAATGTGGAAATATGTAGTATCAGTTTTGGCAGTCTGATTATTCTAACATTCACAACACCTATGACATTCTCAAACATTTACAATCCTTTATAACTTTTTGAATTGCTTTAAAAACATTCGTTGTGTAGAGTAGACTTTAAGGTACCCCTTGTATTATGGCGAAGTTGTTGTTTGATTTATCGCCAAGTTGTTGTTTCGTTTATGGTATCCTGAGTAGTTGAATGTTATGGAAACCCTATTGTAACGTAATCGGGTGCATGATTCTGGGAATTTTTTAATCATGGGATATTTTGTAAGCGTTTTTGTGGTGTGTGTTGGTTTGATGCTTTAGACGGTAGAATGGCCGAATGTAGTAAGATTAATTTGAAGTTTCTGTACAACTTGGAGCGAAAGGGGAAAAGAGCTTTAATTGACTGGTGTGTAAATGAAGGTTTACTTAGTAGCCATTATAAGTGTCCTGTATGTAGGAAGGATATGCGTCTAGTCGAATGTAAAAACCGTTTATATGGATTTGAATGGGTTTGTAGGAAGAAAGGTTCAGATGGTCACTACGTGAAGCATTCGATCAGAAAGAGTACATGGTTTGAAAAAAGTCATTTGAGTATGATTTATATTTTGATTTTTACGTGGCTCTGGGTGTACGAAGCAAATTCGAAAATCATGGGAAGTGAATATTTGCTTTTGGTAGTGCTTAAATGTATAACATGTTTTTCCTTTCTTATGTTATTTTATTGTTTGGTTTAAAATGTATTTTATTGAGATTATCTATTTTTTTGTGTGCCTATATTGTAGAATTTGGCACTCCTTTGACTTTTTAAGTGAAAATATATCGATGTGTACATGGACAAAGTAAAGGGAGTGTGCAATGCAAGTTTGTACAATTCTGTGATTTTTTTTTTTAAGTAAAAATAGGTAGATGTGTACATGGATAAAGTTAAAAGAGTGCGCAATGTCATTTTTGTGGAATTCAGGAATTTTTTTTAAGTGAAAATAAGTCGATGTGTAAATGGATACCGAGTTTGTGCAATTTTCTGTCTTGTTATTTTGGCACAAAAATTGCCGCTTCGCAAGCCAAAATAACGAGTCAAAGAATTGCACAAAATCGGTATCCATGTTTTGCCAAGGGGTACCGTAAACTATACTTTTACCCATTCATTTGACTACTTTTACAGCTCATTGGTACTTTTCTGTTCATTAAAAAAATATATAAACCATGAGAAATGTTAAGAGAGAAATCAAAAATCTGTATGATCAGTGCTTACATTTTTACAGCTAGTAAACAAATACTATTCAAGAAAATAACAATTAAATAAAAAATGCAAAATCCACATGCACAAAAACATGCGTGGGTTAGTTAATGTCTCAATACTTGAAAATATAAATATGTTAATCATACTGACTGTTGGAATTGCAGACACAAATAATTAAAAAAGTATCTTCGTTTTTCATAATAGATTATCTGCAAGATCAAGTTGCTGAATACTGGTGTTAATTTTAATTTGTATACAAATACTTCAATGAAATTATAAAAAAATTCCATTCATATATAAAGGTAAAAGTGCAGAATGTTTCTACAATGAAAAGTTGCATTTTCATTTACATATTATCATTAAAAGTCTCAGACTGGCAACTGATGTTATATACAATGCATCATACTGTTCATGAAAATACAGGTGTCTCTCATTCACAAAAAAGAGATCTGTGCCAAATCATTTATTGAATGCCTGGAGCCTAGTAAAATCAAAGCCCAAATAGATCAATTTAAAGCTGCTTCTTTTAAATGTGGTAACCAAGATACAAATATACCTATTGCTAATGCTAAGACGGAGATATCAAAAAAAGGAATCATGCATAAACTCAATTTTCCTTGGCAAATAATATTTCATGAAAGACTGCACGTCTAAAAAGTTATTTATTTAAAAGCAATACAATGAAACAGGTAATAAAATTAACTTAAAAGTACTTTTGAGCATGGTTTTGATCAGAAAAGCAATCAATTTTGCAGATGGAGATAACAAAATCTTAAATCTTTAAGTTTCTAACTTCTTCCACATATCACAACCACAGAAAAATAAAAAGGCATCTTTGAAAATATAATGCCAAGCAATGGGTGGCCTGGGATCATAAAACCAGGTGTTACAAATGTACTCCATAATTATGGAGAAATTTTCATCAACTAAATATGCAATCACTTCCTAGTAAAAATACATAAACCTGAATGAAGCTATTCAGACTGGCACAAGAGGAAGTTCCAAAGATCAAATCAATATAACGGTTAATTCTGCAGCATATTATTGGGAATTAAAAGAAACATTAATGTCTTTAAATGTTAATTAATATAACACACTCAACTTTTCATGAAATATAGTTCTTTATTCAAAGACAAAATTTAGGATTTTATATTTGAAAAATAATATGGAGAAAAACTGAACATTCAGTTCTCGTTAAATACATAAATCAATTATTCTACATCAAGCAAATTAGTTAAATTAAGTTTACTATTTTTGAACACTTTAACAGTTTTCGAACTCCGAATACATCCACGTTAACTATCGAGGAACTCCCTCCTTGATTAACAGAGTGTAACGAAATACTCTAATTGACAGATTGACACATAGGAAAGTTTAATGTCCTGCTGAAGTTATTTTTACCTACCTAATTTAAAGCTTAAATTTGAAGAAATTAATGAATTAATAAATTATCTATTTTCGAAGCTAATGAAAAATGAAAGATGTTTTTAAAGTCACAGTGAATGGGCTGTGGCTGATATCATTTATGAGATTAGGCTTAATCTATTAGTACAACAGATCGCATTTTGAAAAGTAGCAAAGCATACATATAGATTGTGAGTCTAAACAAATAAAATCAATTACTTTGAGTCCTGTGCCCAAAACAATAGCATCATATTCTTCATCCATCGTTAATTTCTTTTCAGGACAATCTGCAACAATCGACTTAAAGTGACTAAGAAAGATCACCACACCGCCCGCGGTAGATGATAGTAAGACCGCTGCAGACACCTGACCTGTGCACTACTTTTCATACCCTGTATTACTCCGCTGTCGCACGAATGGTGGTCTGATTAGCGTGTCGCACAGGCGATCTGATAATGCGCTATTATCAACATAGCATGAGTAAAACATAATAAATTGGCTTTGTAGAGAGACATATATTTATTTAATTCCACAGTTATACTATTTAAATAATAACTTCTTTAAATGCCTTTACATAAAAATTTCAATTTTCTTCTGCTTCGCATTATCTGCCTCCGTACAATGTTAAACATTTTCACTAGTTTCAAATTAAATCGATTTCAAGCAATTTTCGAGACATTTAGGTAAGGTTGGTATGCTAGAAAGCACTTTATTAGTATTTATGGCGCAACAAAACCAAAGTGCAGGCATAATAGTATTTGAAAATAATAATTAATTCCAGAGTCGTAGCTAGGGTTTTCAGCGCCCAGGGACAACTGAAGATTTCGCGCCTCCTACTGCTTGCCAAAGATAAGAAACATTTAATTCTAAAATGTCGTAACATCACTTTGGAGCCCCTTGGATTCTGCGCCCGGGGACAGATGCCCCCCTTGCCCCCCTCTAGCTACGCCCTGATTAATTCGGAAGAATCAGTTTCAGAGAAGACAAGCATAAAAGAATATAAAAGTTTTACCATCACATCTACAGAATGCACAATTATAAAGAATGAGAGCGTTTTTAATAACATAATTTAATCTTGGGTAACTTCAGAGTTAAGCTGGAGCGAATCCTTCATTAAGTTTGTGTCAAATCAGTAAGACCTTGTTACTTCGGAGCTAAGAAAGAACTACCGCTGAATACATACATAAAATAATGGTTTCAATTAATACCGATTTCCTGATCACTTTTTGAAAAATCATTTAATTGCATTTATTCCGAGGGAGTTCATGTAGTGTTGAGAAGAAAATCGAGAGTTGAAACACACTTCTATAAAATTTCCCTAACACTGTTAAATTTGTCACTGCATAACTCATCGTTTAAAATTAATTAGCCTTAGAAGATTCGATTAAAAACCACGATGAAATGAACCATTTTGGATTGCATCTTGATAAGTTATATGTTAAGTCCATTCCCCCCCCAAAAAAAAATCAGCAAGAATTAAATGAGACTAATAAACACCTAGGTGTCAACATATTAAAAATTAGCGTTATTTAGACCATATTAGGAAGCACGTTGTTGACAAACAGTTTTTGCTTCATGGAATAACTATTCAGCTTTATGCAAGTACTTTTCCATCGGTCGATAGTTATAAGTGTTTATTAAACTGAGTGCTAAACTTGGAATTCTTAAGAGACTTGGTATTAATAGTCAATAACCTATAAGTAAATTACTATGCTTGATATTTTGCGATTGTTTTAATTTCAAAAATTTTCTTAATTACAAAGCTTTTTCTTGTTCGTGCACAGTTATTTGTATTTTCTTTTTTCATAAAAAATAAAATATTTCATCAGAATTTGATATTTTGTTTTCATGAAATTAATAAAATTAGATTGTAAAGTGTAAAAATTTGTTAAAATTTTCTTATCTCACCGTTGCGTAAAATAAAAGATTGGACTAACACCTGTTCCGGAGAGAAGGTACCATCTATAGCCAAAATTTACGAGTCACTAAAACAGCATTTTGATGGAATTATAACTAACCGAAGTATGCAAATCTGAGATTACACATCCAATCATTTGTCTCTACAAGAAGTAAGGAAACTATCTGACTCTGCGCAGATTAGAGATCATGGAACGTAGCTACTGAAACAGATGACTTTCCAAAGGTAAATAATTCAATGTACAGCACTGGAATAAAAAATATTATAACTACTTTTGACTTACTTAAAGGAAGTTCCTTACTTTTCTCCTCGTCTGGGGAAACGTAAAGAACTTATTTCTTCAAGATTCATCAGGACCTGTATTGTAGTAACGTTATATCATTTAAAATAAAGAAAGCTTCTACGATTCTACAATGCATAATTAATAAAAAGTTTGCAAAATAGACTTGGTTCTTGCCGATATTGAAGACACAGAAGTATTTTCTTGTGACTGGAATACGCATTTGTTTCATCTTCAAGGACAAATGAGGTCGTCGAGATCCGGAAAGTTTTGTGAGGCGCCGGTGGCCGTAAAGTCTACCTTACCACCAGACATCGACGGTTAAAAGCAGGTGAAACATTCATCATAATTGCTGAACTCATGCAACAAAAGGCAATAAACTTATTAGAAGAAAATTACTTAATGACAGAGACGTAGCTAGGGTTTTCAGCGCCCAGAGACAACTAAAGATTTTGCGCCCCTTTCTCTGTGCCAAGACCGGAAAACATTTCATTTTAAAATTTCGTAACATCAATTTGGTGCCCCCTGAATGCTGCACCCTGGGACAGATGTCCCCCCTTGCCCCACCCTAGCTACGCCACTGCTTTATGACCCTAAAAATTAAAGAAGTAAATTAGAAAGATAAATTAATGATAATTGTATCAAACACGTAGTCCTAATTCGTTGTTATCTCGTCGTAAATTCGCAACTGGTAATTTATAATTCTTTATTCCCTAGCATTAAAGGGCGAAAGTTTGATATTCTGCAACACCGACGATTTCATAGTTATCCCGTCACGTTTATTCAAGTCAGCAATTATTCACGTGGATAGATTTTCACATGGGCGTCCATCACATCTTGATGAAGATTGCATTCTTCATGATATAACTTGAACTTCATAAGAGTGCGTGGCATTCTGTTGAGTCTTGGCGAACAAGAGAAAACTTTCACAAAGGTGTCGGCAGCCCTGTGTGAGCTTGAGAGCACCGTTATACGAGTCCATCCTCCTTTGGTCATCCATAAATCATATTTTTGAAAGAGACGTAAGTTGTGCTCTTAATTTAGAGAGGTGCTCATTAGCAAGACACCTTAAACGAAGTGCTAAGCTTATATTATTCAATGAGAGAAGTGTCAGACAGATTTTGCGAAAAGTAGATCGAAAAACTATTAGAAAGAGCTCAGAAATTAATTGGTATTTTGTAGTTGTTATAGGAAATACACTGATAGAATATGATATCTGTATTAAAAACCAAGCCTCAATTGTTATCTTTCATTCATAGTTTGACTTTGTAAGAGTAGTAACCTTCTGAAGTCTGTTCTAGTTTATTACCATTCTACGGATTTCGAAAATAAAAGCATGACGCTTTTGAATATTAGATGTTTATATGGAGAAAGAAGAACTATTAGTTCCAGCAAACCTCGAACAATTCCAACAGAAAGAAGTTATGCTGTATATACAAAAAATTGGGACGTGTGCTTGCACACCTCAAAGATAACGACTATTCAGATTTCGTTCTAGATTGATAACTGTGGCGTAAGGAGCTACAGTTCCTAATTTGAAAATGACTTTAGGAAAATCACGGTAAACACGCGAGATAAACTTCGTATGCTTTATTAATTTTTCGGATTGAAAGCGAGATTTGAGTCAAGAAAGCCCTTCAAAACACGAGAATGGCAGAATCAGCAAGTTGCTAAGTTTGTTAGGAGACATTTAATAGGGCTAAGAGAAGGTGTATTTTTCTCTCCGCAGTATTGCACAAAGACTTGGCAGAGATGCATCCATTGGTATGCGTATTGGCAGCATCCGTTGGCATGCGTATTGACATCCACTGGAATTCGTATTGGCAGCAGTGGTCACGCGAAGGTACTATCTGAACCAAGGCCAACTTATACTCATAAGTATACTAAGTAAGTTGTAGTTGTAATTAAGTATAGTAAGTTGGCCTTGATCTGAACAAAGCCGGGATCCGACTGTCACCACTCAAAGGGAAGACCGCCGTATTTCCCACAAGACGACGGCGCATGGCACCAAAGCTGCTTCAAGAGCTGCTATACATACAGCTTTGGCTTGGCACTACATCTGCAGAAGTCGTTCAAATCTGGAACGGCTTCCTTCGTTAACTGGAAGAGTCCAAGACTTGTGGGTATGGTAAGTGAAAGTGGGGATTAGGTAAGGGGAGAGGAAAAGGGAAAAGGCGAGGTTGTCATTTTCAGCGCCTGCTTTCTACGTGTATGCGGCTACCGTTTGTTTTCAGATGAAATTTTTTATTAGTAAGTTCCAGTATAATATGTATTCTTATTTTTACTACATAAAACTGTGAGTGGAGACAACATGTGTAAAGTCATGCTCTGTATCTGTTGAAATCAAAAATGTTTTTTATTCATTCTGTATTATAAATTCTGTATTATGCTTTTCATAATACTGAATATTAAATTGAAATGCTCCTATTGTATTATAATCAAAATATCCACATACCTAATACCTAGCCGCATACCTAATCCTCCTGTGGGGTTTGAAGGAGAAAATTACAATAATATTGAGAAATATTTAATTAAAAAATGTTAATTTAGTTTTATGTCATTTATAAAATTTAATATATATTTATATATTGGATGCAATACTTTACATTACAAACTTACTTTCAATTCGCATGTTCCAAATTTAGTGGAAAAGCATAAAACAACTGCACTGCATAGCACACTTTAACACAGCAACAGTTGTAATTTTCTGTTGAGTTAGACCATTGAGTTCAGAGAATTTTATTCCAAAAAGTCTTGTAAGAAGTATATATATTTTCTTATTCCTTGCAAATTCAATTGCAAAAAACGTTTCGCACCTTTATTTAGCATTCTGACTGTATAGTTTTTTCTTTTTCTTTCTGTTAAATTACTTTTTCGTATATTTCCAATTTTGATAACTAATCAGCACTTAGTTTCTTTTCTGAAGATATCACTTGTTTTAGATAAATTAATAGATTTTGTTTGCCTTTCACACTACGTAATTTTGATTACTCAATTTAATGATATCATAATATCAGATGATGCAAAAACAAAAAATAACTCGCTTCAAGTTTGTACCAAGATACAACATTGCCAAATATTTATTTGATTGGCACGACTTTTAGGGAGTTACTTAGAAGAAAAATGTGGGTAATTATGTAAATTTATACATTTGTAATATAAAATATGAGGCAGT